CTCGAGTAGCTGAGAGGTGTACGTATGTTTAGCTCTGTCGTGAATCTGCCAGCTCCGTCAAAGAAGTGAGAAATAGAAATTTCTAAACTGTTGAAGAACTGCAATTGAACTATGGTAATTCTCCGAGGAAGTGAGAAATGACTATTAATATCTTCACATGTACGCCATTTATAAAAGTCAAAGTGATACTTTTTCTGCAATATTTTTGATATTCACACATTCGTGTTCACAGACTCCTTAATAAATATGAATGTGCGAGCAGAAAATATCGTGAGTATCGTTTTTTTTTATTGTTACAATGACAGAAAATATAGTGCGTATCGTTTTTTTTTCATTGTGACAATCACAGAAAGGTGGAAGAATTGAGAAGGAATTTCGATTTCTTAGTCCTGTGACACTCCTTCATTATGTTAGATTCGCTTTTTAATCTTTCCATATGAATATAAATCCATCTTGTTGAAAGAAAAGAAAAATTCTTTCAAACCAATAGTCTGCAGTATTCTTAGTTTTATCATCTTGTTGGTGAAACTTTCATTCATTGACTATTAATGAATATTGATTTAACCCTTTGTTCGGAAGGTTTTTGCTGATGAGCAAATCAATAAAAATTTTTAAGAAACTGAATAAAGTATCAATCAATTTGAAATGGAACAAGTCAAATTAAAATATCATTAAAATGATAGTACGCAATAAAATGTCAATGAAAAAAATAACGCTGTTAAAGAGTTTTACAGAAAAAAAAATTCTAAAAGAATGAAACGAGTTGAATCAAACTAATTGAATAATCAAATATGAATTAGTAGATATATTTAATCGTGCTTCAATTAATATCGATAAAACGACAGCAAATGCTGTAAGTAAACACGCTGATGATGAATTTCGAGCATGAAGCAGTTGATTACATCAACAAAACACATCATTCGACAATAGAATTGAGGATATATGTGAAAAATTTGCATTGAACTGATCGTAGTAATGATAATCAAGAGTTTTTCAAACATACGCTAATACAATTTTTACTTGATTGACAACATATTTGAGAAAATTATTATAAAATAATTTATGATCTTGTTAAACAATTTCAAATAGAAGAGTCAACAAGTAATCAATATCGGATTGATTCATTTAATATTCAACATACTAATGTAAATGAAATTATTAAATTTGTGCGTTCACATATTCAACAACGACAAGAAGAACAATTACGTGACATAAAGTATAACATTCAACAAAAACATCATTAACAACAAACACGAGCTATTTAGTTAGATTTTGGTTTAATAAGTGAAAGTCAATCTAATAAAAGTTTTGAACACATACTTTATTAATATTTACCATTAAATAGAGATATACCAATTTTTATAGGTCATATTGATCAACCAACAGAGACGAGAAAATGGAATGATTACATATCATATGATTAAATTATTTCTCTTCAATAAATGAACTTCCGTTAATTCTCTGTCTTGATACAAGTTTTAATGCATGACTATCGAATAAATCAGTGATTTAACAGCAATTTATATTCTACATACGAAACAAGACAATTTGATTTGACATACTCTTGTTCAGTCATCTCATAAAAATTTCTAATTGAAAAATTTTCTTATATTGATTTTACGTCATCAAAGAATATTGATATTGTTGAAAAATTTTGTATGAAACTTAAAAGTCATAGATATTTTATTATCTAAGATGACTTCGATCTGAATGTGGAAAACTCGTGTTATGGCTCCTTAATGGAATATAGTATATACTAATAGTTATGAACAATCTAGTAGAACAGATTGTTCAAGATTATTTAATCGAGATGAAAAACCATATAATTGTCCAAAAGTAATATCTTATTTTTTTAATCATCAGTTTTCTATTCTATTTGTGTCTTAACAAGCTGGGCTCGATTAGCATCTAAGATAAGAGAAAATGATACTGAATTTGATGCTAAAAAGGGTTCTCAGTGTATTGCTTATTAGGGTAAACAACATGCTAATGCTCTACTTATTTTTAGAATCAGTCTTACGTTCGAGTTTCACTGGTTGTTTAGGTGTTTGTGGACACAATGCCGTTGATTTTTGAGGTCATGCACCGAATATACAGCTCGTTCGTGCAGTACTCGTCCATGGTAAAAAAAGAAACAAATGATTATAATCGTTGGTATCAATTAACATTTCAATGTCGTGTCAATCCTGCATCTGTTAGTAGAACACATTCAAAAATATTAATTAATGATGAAAGTAAAGGAAAGATTCATATTGATGAAAAATTTTTTAATGGTGAATTAACATAGATTGTACCTAGCGGAAACTGCATAGCTAATATATATTCGAGATAATATTGTTTGTTATGGAATGATGATACAAATATTTCAATGTGATCCAAAACAATTATTCTTCAAATCGTGAAAAAATTCAAGTAGTCTTGATTATAATTGTATTTCAGTTTTATTGATACTAATACGTTGATTTTTATTCTGTATGACTTTTGAATTAAGTCATTTATAAGGAGTATATAACCTGATATATAATAATTTTTAAAGAAACTGAATATTTTGAATGAATTTTAGATATGATGTGACTTTTATGAAAATTGGCGAAGATTACAAACAAAAACTATTTTTC